GAAGGTGGGGGTGGGGCTGAGAAACCAATCTGCTAGGTCCAGGACTTGAACCACAGTCAGCCATGTGGGAGTCCAGTGCCCTTAGCCACCATACCACCTGCTGGCTCTCAGAGAGACATTTTCTAATGATTACAGGCTTCACATTCCATCAGCATATTAAGGTTACTTTTCTTCTGAGGCTTCTCTCCAGTAAATACTAAGAATTTAGGGACTATACTTCATTGTGAAGGATTACAATTGCATTAAATCTAGTAATACTAAAACAGTTAAGGAGTCTCTTCAAAGCAAAGACATCAGACTTCTGGTTTTACATTTTTTTCCTTAGATTTTTGCTAAAGGGCATGAGCACTTGCTGGAGAGACAGAGAGATAGAAAGTGAGAAATTACCCCCCGGGGGATGGCCACACTGCAATCCCTTTGCTTCAATTCTCCTCTCAAAATTTTGGGTACACGTGCACACGCACCCAGCGTTGAGTTTTAAGCCACTGGATTCAGGACTCAAACTGCAGTCAACTATGTGGGAGTCCAGCAACGTAACTGCTATGCCATCTGTTGGTCTCCATACTTCTGCTTTCGTTGACTGGGGTAGGGTGAGTATTCAAGGGAAGAAGGTCTTTGCTTCATACCACTGTTTCCTTATAAGAACAATAAAACCTAAGGGTATCATCCTCTACTGTGGTCGTTTGGAAAGCAGAGGATAAGGAACTGTTAACTTTAACTTTCCTGTGCTAGCCTGATATGTGTATGTACACGCACAAATGTCTTCAGCTTTGGAAATGTTTGGAATAGGGGCAGTTACCCTGCAAATCTTCCGTTGGGCAGACGGTGATTGAAATAGAAATAAGAAAATAAAAACAATAAAGCACACAAAATATTCTGAAGTGACTGAGAATGCCCACAAGCTCTCTAACAATATGAAGTCAGGGTAGAGTGACCAAAACAGAAACGCCTGGTCTTCCTCAGCATTCTCACGTCCACACTGTAAAACCCTCTTCAGGCACGGCCAATAGCGACTCCAGCGAGCCAGTACTGCCGTGTGGTGGCTGAGGCCACAGGGAAGGCCCAGGTGTGCTTCCCAGCCCAGAATAAACAGTCTAGGTCCAGTGATGTGCCTGGAAAACTAGTACCGGCGAGGCTGGGGCAAGAGGACTGGGGCATGGCGAAACCCTGTAAAAATACCTCCCTCCCCCTTCCCACGTTCCCATCCTCTCTCTAAAACAAACAGAACACCTCTGCGGTGCTAGTGGGCCTCAGTCTATTTATTGATGGGGGTGAAAATTATGGAAAAGAGGCAGAAAGAGGAAAAGAAAAAAGAAAGAGAACCAGCAAAAGGCACAGCATTTTATTATTAAAGCTATTTCCTTTTATTTTTTCCTGTGCTTGCTGTTTTATACAGAACACTTTTAAATAAATTATCTTATAAAGGCAAAATAAAGTTTCTTTCCGATTCCATTTAAAAAGCAATACCATCTGTTGTGTTCAAGCTAGACTTACACCAAAATCATCGTACACTGGCTATACAGCCATCCACTGGGGGCTGGAAACCGGCTTACAGTAGTGTGTGCCTTTCAGATGGTGTCACCCCGACAGGTACGCGGTGGAGACAAGGGGAGCTGGATTTGGAGAAAGCTGGGTCTTTCTGATCGCCTTTACTCCCTGTTTACTTCATCGCCATTCTCCCCACTGAACTTGAATATGGGAATCTGCTCACCACCCTTAACCTCTAGGAAGACTTCTCGAAGTTTCCACCTGATAAGAGCAAAAAAGAGAGTCTCTAATGAATGGGAACACTGAGGCAAAAGATGTCAAAAATGGGAAGAAAAAAGTTATCGTTTGGAACAATGTCTTAAAATGTTTTAGACATTATTTTAAACATTATTTTATGTTAATATAATGCAACACTCTATTATTATGTGTTCTCATTATTTAACCAGCATCTGCTTCCAGGCAAGCCTCGGGATGACTGACAGGTGAATGGAAGGGGCACCAGGAAGGAGAAGGGGCAGATTATATCCCATTTCCTAATTCACACAGACCTTCAGTTCCTGGCCTGGAATCTGGCCAGCTCCTCCACTAATCCTAGGCTCAGAGGTCAATGAGCCCAGGGTGAGCTAGGTGGGGGCCGCCTCAGGGCCGGAATTAAACCCATCCTGGCTAAACAGCAAATATCTTAGAGAGAGGCTTCCCGTGGGGGATGTAGCTAGTGGCAACCAGACAAGAAAAGCCAATTAACAGGGTGGAGAGCTTATGCAAAGAATGTGATGAATAATTCTAGAACAGGAATCCATGCCTTTATTTCTAAGGATTGAGACAGAGGAGTCAGAAGTTGTAACATGCATCGAATTGTTGTAGACCTAGGCCACTGTAGCTGCAGTCTTCCAAACAGCAGCATAAGGGGAGGACGGGTCAGCAGAATGGACTGGATAAACTGCCCGGACTGAGCTAAAAGCCAACGCATGGCAAGCTGCCCCGCCACGATGCTTTTAGTTCCAAGCTCTGAAAATCAATTCTTCCTAGTACTGCAGTCATTTACAGATGAAAATGGTAAACAGGAAGTTCTGTTTTCTAACGCCCACCATTGTCCCATGATACCTCTGAAAGGGGGCGTCTCTGGATGAGCTGACATAGAGATGGCCCTCCGACTTGGATCCAGAGACAGGAATCTTCAACTGTGGGTGTGACAGGAAAAAAAAAAAAGGGAGAGAGAATCAGATACATTGTTGTCATCTCGAAAGATACCCTAAGAATGCTTCTGAGAGCAAAACTAGAATGTTTTCTAATAGCCCAGCTGGAGAAGCTACCTGTACAAGTACACTGCCCGTTTAGACGGCTATGAGATAAGGAGTAGCCCTTCCATTTCGTAAATACGCCAAACTCTGCTCTGCATATCCACAGTGATCACCCAGAAAAAAACAAACTACGACACATGCGGGTCAAAAGCACACTTCAGGGCTTCTAAGGCCGCAGGATCAAGTGTACACACCTGACATGATAATGCTGCAGCCTGCAGCTCTCTGCGTGCCCAGCCCAGCCCACCTGTTCACACCCACCCTCCCCAATCTGCACCTCCACAGCAAGGTCATCAAGACAGAGAACAGTGAGAGACATGCCCTCACGTGTAGGTTGTTCTTCGGCCTTGTGGTCCTATTCTATTTTTCAGAGTCTTTTTTTTGAGAGTTTTTTACTACAGGGTGCGTACGCTCACCAGAAAGAGAGAGACAGAGAAAGAGAGAAATCACCCCCCAGGGGGGATGGCCACGCCACAATCCCTTCTCCTCCATTCTCCTCTTGGGATCTTGGGCACACACGCACACGTGCCTGGCGTTGAGTTTAAGCCACCGGGTCCGGGACGCAAACCGTGGTCGACTACATGAGCGTCCAGCGACATAGCCATTACGCTAACTGCTGGTCCCTATTTTTCAAAGTCTTTGCCACAATTTCGCAGGCCTCTAACCTCTTCCTCTGGGACCTCAAAAGTAACAGTGATTGCTTCATCCTGTCTTATTCTAGAAGTTTTCAACTGTAAACTCCCTGAAAGCCTTCCTTTCTTATCTCTGTATTTCCCCACAGCTTGGACTCATTCCTAGGGACATATATTAAAAACAATTTTGTTACACAGCAGTTAGCGTAATGGCTGTGTTGCTGAACAACCATGCAGCCGACCGCGGTTTGAGTCCCAGACTCAGGGTCTTAAACTCATGCCGGGCGCGTGTGCATGCGTTCCCAAGATCCAGAGAGGAGAATGTAGGAGAAGGGATTGCGGTGTGGCCATCCCCCCTGGGGGTGATTTCTCTCTTTCTATCTTTCTGTCTGTCTCTGTCTTTCTGGCAAGCACATGTGACCTATAGCAGAAACCTCTCTTAAAAAAAAAAAAAAGAAAGAAAGAAAGAAAAAAAGAAAGAAAAAACAAAAACAAAAAAGTTTGTTACACAAACACATCTCATACTCAAGTGTGTTTTATCAAGCTGAACCAAACAGAAAGATAAGCTTAAAAAATAGACTGCCTTTCAGTGGGAGCAATATAAACAAACAAACTTTGAAATCAAACTTTGAAGGCCTTGTTACATGTAAATGAGCACTGATTGGATAGATTTCTAAGCTCTATGCTGAAGGGATGGCAAACCACCCTGGTCATCTGTCTACTGCCTTTGGTTCAAGATGCTCACTCACCACATTCCCTGTCACATCAGTTCCCCATAAAGAAAGAAAAATAAATGAAAATTAATCCATAAAAATATAGAATGCATTTTATATAAATGTAACGCTAAAAATACAAAATAATAATTGGGTTAGGAGATGGTGCAGGAGTAATGCAACTGGACACCAATGGAAATGTCCTGGGTTTCAGTCCTAAGCACGCCCTGGGCACACCGAGCACAGCCACACAGGCCCACGGTCGGGGCTAGCTGGGACTGGGGGGTAATCAGGGCATAAGATCTTGCTTTGGGGGGGCAGAGTGCCCCCCCTCATAGAAGAAATAAACTTTGAAAAAAAAAATATGAGTGAGTCATCTCCACAAGCCAATAAGAAAAATAAAATCCAGGGGTCAGCTGGTGGCATGGTGAAGGTAGCTGGATCCCACATGGCCAACCATGCAGTGTAAGAAACCGTCGAGTGAGAGCCAGAAATCCCAAGAGGAGGATGGAGAAGGGACTGTGGCATCACCAGCACCCCTGGGACGGACTTTCTCACTTGCCCTCCTTCTCTCTCTCTCCAGTGAGTGCAGGTACGCACTAGAAAAGTTAAAAAAAAAAAAAAAAAAGTCCATACTAAACACTCACTTTTTTTAAAGGGTGCTAAACCTAGTGGCAATTTCACTTATTGGACTTTCCCATTCTGGTCCTTAACTCCAGTGTCCTGTCCTGCCCTTCTCCGGTCGGGGCCTGGCCCGCAGTCTGGGGCGAGCGCAGTACCTGAGCATCAGCAATGTCCACCAGGTTGTGCTTGTCAAGGAGCTGGATCCGGTGGACGCTGAGAGGAGCGCCCAGCGCTTCCAGTGCCGTGGGGTGATTATGCAGCTGCTCCAATGCCGACTGGTAATAGGAAGACCTTGAAAAGGTTTTAAAAGAGCGAAGACAGATGTTATTACTTTCTTTATGGAACTGGATCAGGTAGACTCTCCATAGATAATTAAGCAGTGCAAGGCAGCTCTGTGAGGCAGAGGTTAAGGGAACTGGATCTCACATGGCCAACTGCAGTTCAAGTCCTAGCCATGGCAGCTTGAAAAATATCCCAGAGTTGAATACGTGTGCACCCAAAATCCTGACTGAAAGAAAGAAGAGGAAAAAAAAGGATTATGGTGTGACCACGCCCCAGTGGGGGTGCTTTCTTTCTCTGGCATGCCCTCTGACAATTAAAAAGTGCAAGAAAGATGGCCAACAGGTCATGGTGTGGTGGGGTAAGGCACCGGACTCCCACAGGGCCAACTGTGGTTTGGGTCCCAGACCTGGCAGCTTGCTTGCTTCCTCACTTTCCCTTTCTCTCTGTCTGTCTCTGGTGAGAACACATGCCCTATAGCAAATTTTAAATAGCAATAATAATAAGTGAAATTAAATATCTTTAAAATATGCAAGAAAGGAAGTTAAATAATAAAACTGATGTACAATGTGAAAGCAAACAGAAATGTAAAATTTGTGGATGGAAGAACAATTAGGGATCCTCTATCCTCAACTGTCCATTTTACAAACCTGAAAACCGAAGCACAGAAAGACAGCACCTGCAGGAATGTGCAGACGACCTCAGGCCCTTCACCTTTCTGTGCCACATTTCTTCTCACCTCCTCACCTCATTCTTTAAACATTCTTCACCAAGGGGGTTTGATCAGCTCTTCTCTAAGCTTCTTTTCATTTAAAGTGCTCTGAGTCCATGACTTGCTCAGAGAGATGCAGCTGGTCTGAGGCAAGGCTGAGGCCAGAGTCTATGACACCTGATTTCTGATTTCTAAACACTGCCCCCCACTGAGAGCACACCATGAACGGCCACAAAACTCTTGGGCCAAGAAGTCCGATATGGAAATGTTCACGTGTCAAGTTTACAGACTGAAACGGTCATCTCAGACAGAACTGCTCTCAGTCTTGGGGTCCCTTCTCAGCCCAAAGGCTAGTGGGCACACTGGGAAGCACCTCGCTGAAGGTGGAAGGTGGTAAGTGCCCTCAGGAGACAGCACAGGTAGGCTTTCCCATAGGCCGAAGAGACCTTCCTGCAGGCTGATCACAACGAGGGGCGAGGCCAAGAGTCCTGTGCTGCTTCCCAGGAGCAGCTGCAGCCGTGAAGGAGGTGCCAGCCGTTGGACAGGGAGCAGCAGGGTCCTCTGGATAACCGTTCCCGGGTGACTCCTAAGCGTATGCATTGCTCTCAATATTGCAAACATCTCACGCTTCCCAGTAGCTCATATTTTATGAGATTAATTTAACACTCACAACAGCTTCACACGGGGGTGCAATATATCCTTCACCACACAGATAAGGCAACTAAGGCCTGGGAAGGTGAAGGACTCTCCCACAAGCTTAGAGGGTACTCAAGAGTTAGAGCTGGGTGGGGCCAACGGGTGGTGTGGAGGTTAAAATGGCTGTGTGGTTCGAGTCCCAGACCTACCTGGTGGCTTAAGAAACACGTTGCTTGCCTATGTGTGCATGCCCCAAATCCGTATATGTGATGCCCAAAGTCCGGAGACGTGAATGGAGGAGAAGGGATTGTGGGCTGGTCATCCTTTCTGGGGAGTGATTTCTCACCTTCCCTCTCTCTCTCCAGTGAGCATATATACCCTATAGCAAAATTTTTTTAAAAATTAAAAACCCCAAGATTTAGAGCTGGCATTCAATGTTGCTGCAGAGCCAGGATTCACCACCCAACTGGGCTCTGTTGGCTGACCCCTGAGGGGGAAAAGCTGTCAGACCACAAGGCTGAACCCTACCCTGAAAATGCATGCATTCCTGTCAGGTCCTGCAGCTGTCCCTTTGGCAGAAGGACAAAGAGGCTGAGTTACTCAGCGTGAATCATCCCTGGGCTTGTTCATTTCGGGCCACCTCCAGCCTCTGGGACTCAGGCTGACTCTGCAGGAAGGTGAAGGACTGGTGTGCTTTGTCTGTCTGTGAGTGACACCTCCCTGGAAGAAGCGAAAACACTGTAGAGTCAGGGGGAAGAGACAGGCGGGTGGGGATAAAAGAGCCTCATAAAAAAGTCAGGTTAGAAGATAACTGCTGCCACTTTGCCACCAGTAGCCCTGAAAGGACCTTAGATGTCTTGGCTGCTGACAAAAACTTCGGCCTGTCTTTACATATTAAGCTGTGGGAGCAGTGGGACTGGAAGCGTCTGTCAGGAGTCCTGTGCTCTGCTCTGACTTGCTGTTCTTGCCAGGCCCTTGCTCCAAGTCCCCTCCTCCATTACATCAACAGCAGAGAATGGCAGGGCACACGGGCGACGACACTGGAGAATCAGTGTTCCCCCAGCTGCGAACCCTCTGGGGTCCCCCTCCCTTCTTCTCTTTTTCTATATAATCTCAGAAATCTCATATGCACTGGAATGAAAGCCTATCTTGTTTTGTGAGGCTTCCTCCTTCCTCTTTTTTTTTTTTTTTTTTAAGCATTTATTTATGTGTCTACTGATTTATTGTGTTTTTCAAGCCACCATTTTCGGCACTTGAACTGCAGTGTGCCATGTGGGAATCCAGGGCCTTAACTACCATGCAACCTGCTGGCTCCTTCTGTGAGGCTGCTTATACAAATGAACCCTGGTTCTTATTGTACTTGTGGATCCAGGGAAAACTAGGATTACAGGATAATGAGGACATAGCCTACAGGATGGTGGGCTGGCTTCTAAACCGGGCCTCTCTTCTCTAATCTGCTGAAAGTATCCCAGGTATGTCCTGTGATGCAGGAGCAGGCCGAGGAGAAGGAGGTGGAGGCCACCGTACTTACTCTGTACGATGTAATAGGCAAGGGTACTGCTCCCCGTAGCTAGGGCACAGGTGAGAAGGGCCCATCTTCCCAGTGGCAAAGGCATCTTGCTTCTTGGAGGCTTCAAAACAGAACATACACATGTAGGTAAGAGTCAGTTTTGTGCCATGGGCCTTTGCCTGGATCAGGCGCCACAGGGGAAGGAGAGCTAAGGACGAAGCCAGCCGGAAATCTAGCTGCCCTCACTCATTTGCTTCCTTTCTGATGCCAGGGCTGGTTCTGGGGCCAAAGAAAGTGCCCTCCAGAGGGTACCCTCCTGAGGGTGGCCCAACTCCAGAGCCCAGACACCGGGGGCTCTGCTGCCCCAGCCGGCCCAGCACAGAGCAAGCATTCAGCCCACCATCCTGACAGACAGAACCTGGCCTGTGTGCCAAGCCCCACGCAGCCAGGAAGCACAGCCACTTTGTCTCAGACCAACTGGTAAACAGGAAGCTTCTCCCTTTGTGGCAACAGCTGTTCTTGTAAGCCTGCAAATGGGCTGGAGCTGTCACTGGCAGCTTTCTTTCATATTTTGAAGAATGCCCCACCCCCTGGATGAGGAAACACTGGTTATGACTCTCAGGCTGAATGCACAGATGGAGAGGTGCCAACAGCAAATACAGCACACGCCACCCACCCTAGCATTCACTCCGGTCCCTGAAGGCCTGGGCGGAGCTGGGAAAGGCACGTGGGCCTTGCCGAGCCAATTCTCCTCCTTCCTGGGGGCCTCTAACCTCTCCTCACATGGACCTGAGTCTTCATGTAAAGCTGTAAGAACTTGGCCGTGAGACGGAGGTAGAACATGTAGCCATGGCTAGAGGGGTAGAACAGGGTAGGATAAGGGTCATAGGCAAATGTCATAGGGCAGCAGGGCACATAAATGAGACCAGACACTACAAAGTGAGGAATGCACAGCCCAGCCAAGGGAGAAGCTTCACCCTGGCTCCAGACAACTGTGTCCATGTGGGCCAAGCCTTAAGATCTTTCCATTTTTCGAAAAGTGACAAAAATCCGTTTCTTTTTTCTTTTTTCTTTTTAAAATTTGCTCTATGGTACATGTGCTTGCCAGAAACAGAAAGGGAGAGAAAAAAAGAAAGCACCCCCACAGGGGATGGCCACACTGCAATTCCCTCTCCTCTCCCCTCCTCTTGGGATTCTGGACACGCATGCACACATGCGCCCAGCATGTTCCTCGTCACTTGGTGCAGGACTTGAACCATCAGTAGACCATGTGGTACTCACCTGCCCAAATCACCATGTCTCCTGGCTAGCCCCAAAGCAGGTCTTTTAGGTGAAAATGCTTGAATTCGAAATACTGACAATCAACTTAAAAAAAAAAAAATTGGGGGGGGAGGTTTTTGTTACAGGGCGCGTGCGCTTGCCAGGCAGACAGAGACAGAGAGACAGAAAGCAGGAAATCACCCTCCAGGGGGGATGGCCACCGCTGCAATCCCTTCTCCTCCATTCTCCTCTCGGGATCTTGGGCACCCACGCACACGCGCCCGGCGTGAGTTTAAGCCATCAGGTCCGGAACTCGAACCACAGTCTACTACATGGGAGTCCAGCTACATAGCCATTACGCTAATTGCTGGTCCCAACTTAATAAATATTTTAAAGGACCTAAGAAAATAAATAATATATTTGTAAGTCAAATTCTTTCTGTGGTGTTTTGGTTTGCTTTGACTATCAGGGCATTCTCACCCTAGGTGAAGTAAATTTTTCTTTGTCTTTGCTGATGTTTCTCCAAGAAAAAAAGTTTCCCCCATTTGAAGTTAACCTTAGATTTTTTTTGAGAGAGTTGTTTTTTGTTTGTTTGTTTTGTTTTGTTTTGTTTTGCTATAGGGTACATGCATTTGCATGAGAGACAGAGAGCTAGAAAGCAAGAAATCACCTCCCGGGGAAATGGTCACACCGCAATTTTTTCTCCTCTATTCTCTTCTCAGGATTTTGGGCATGCATGCACATGCACCTGGTGTGAGTTTTAAGCCGCTGGGTCCAGGACTCAAACCGCAGTCACCTGTAGAGGAGCCCACCAATGTAACCATTATGCCATCCCCTGGTACCAACCTTAGATTTTACATGCGCTTTTTTTAGAAAGCAGTCTTTCAGTCAGCTAATGGCATGATGGTTAAGGCAGCTGACTCCCATATGGCCGACTGTGAAATTTGAGTCCCAGACTCAGAGGACTGAAAACCATGCCAGGCATGTGTGTGTGTATGTCCAAAATCCCAAGAAGAGAGTGGAGGAGAAAGGACTGTGGCATGGCCATGCCCCCTGGAGGAGGTACTTTCTCTCTTTCACTCTTTGTCTCTATCTCTCTGGCAAGCACATACATTAAAAAAAAAATCTTTGATGTGACATAAGGTGTCAGGGGCAGTACAGCACAGAACTGGGGAGCATGCTACTTCTCCAAGTGTTTGGACCTGTGCCGGGGGTTAAACATAATCCAGCCCGTTTCTCTGCCTTCTAGAACAAAGAGAATAATAACCACTGTCTACCTTCATTTCTGAAATGCTGACAGTGAAAGAATTCAGAAAGGTCCTGTTGGAGAAATTTCCTCATGTAGATACTCTGAGACTGCTAATTAAACACACCCTTGAATGGGGCTTGACTAATCCTATTCTGAAAATAGCATCTGAATCAGGTTTATGTATTAAAGAACTTTGATCAATTTAATCAATTAGGGAGGGTGACGTTTTAAAGCATTTTTGTGTTAATGTATATACTGTTTTGTTCAACTAAGAAAAGGCGTTTGAAACCCTGATGAATGCACAGCAGCTACTGTGAGAGTTTCAGCTGATGCCACACAGTCTGGAAGGATATTTATCGAAGTTGAGTATAAGGTCAATTACAATAATGTGATCTGGGAAAAACCATTTAGTTCTCATAATGAAAATGGTCAGAGCGTCTCCAAAGAATGTATTAGTCAGATCTTGCTTAATTTGAAGAGAGTTCAACAGGGTGGGGCTGAAAGACTGAGTTATACAGAACTTCCTGTAGCTGCTGCAGCTTCTTAAACCCACATGAGACACGGGAAGACATATTCTGAAACACTGTGGAAAACACCCATCCCAACCTAAAGTGGAGCTGTGGCCACCAGCTTACTGCAAAGACCAGGAGAGACCCATTACTCTTCAAGGAGTGACTTTTGGCTATTGTCTACCCTGGCAGGTTCTGATGGGGAATATGGAGTCAGAACATTCCATTGCCTTTTGCCACTCTGCAGTTTGACTCTCCTGAAAGTCATCAAAGGAAAAGCTGTCCTGTAATTAGAAACGATTTCTCATTAAAATAATTTTTTATACCAAATTTTCTCTAGTTTTAGGCAGCCTAGGCTGATCACCAAGCCAAGCTTTAGAACATGAATGAGAAGTTAAACTCTAAAACAAGCTTTGTCTGTAAGGGACCCTGTTTTGTTCCCTATCTCTTTTGCCAAATTAGGAAGAAAAGACAAAGCCTGCTGGTTTCCTGTCTGCGTACTTTGTACCTTTTAAGGTGGCGACCAGAAAACCGGTGTGGGTGGAGGAGCGGTGGGCCGCAGCAGGTGCTTTGACCGCAGAGCAAACACGGGAACAATTAGCAAGAGGCTGGACCCACAGAAACAAGATGCTAGCAATACAGGCTGAACACCATAGGTCAGACACAGCTCTTCAGGGTTAGAAAGAAGCACTAGTAACCTGTACATGGACTTAACGATATTAGCAATGATAGACATCATAGACTTACAGCTTTATTATAACAGTCTGTCAACAGTTGGAAGTATCTTGAAGGGTGGGTGACTTTTCCTAACGCACAGAAAAGTGCCAAGGGGCCAGCAGCAGCCTGGTTAGTGCACCCTGATGCGTGCACCGAGAAAGGAAGTAACACTCAGGAAGTGGTCGATCGGGCTGGAGGTGATCAGAAAAGTTCTCACAAAGGCAGTTTACCCTGAGCAGACAAAGGTGGAGTGAAAGAAGGGTTTTAGTCAGTGGATGACAAACAAAGGCAAAGGGGTTAAAAACAAGCCATGTAACAGGATGAGAGGCAGGACACAAGTCATAGGAAACAGGTCTGGAATTGGGGAAGGGGACTAGGCACCGGGTACAGGACTTGAACCGCAGTAGACCACATGGGAGTTCAGCAACATAGCCATTATGCTAACTGCTGGTCCCAACATGTAACTTTTAATCTTTAACAAAATGCCAATGAACACAAAGCAAACAAGAAAAAGTAACTAACTTAAAGGGGCCAGTAAGTGGCCTAGTGCTTAAGGTATTGGACTCTCATGTGATCAATCACAGTACGAGTCCTGGACCTGGTAGCTTGAAACTCATACTGGGTATGTGTGTATTCATGCTCAAAATCTTGAGAGAAGATAGAGAAGAGATTTTGGTGTGGCCATCCCCCCAGGGTATGATTTCTTTCTCACTTTCTCTATCTCTGTAGTGAGTACACATGCCCTATACTGAAATTATAAAAAAAATAATAATAATAATATAATTTTTTGTCTTTTAAGGGTCAACATGTGTGTGTACATTTGTGGATACACATTTGCAGATATTGAGACATGGATAGCTATTTGTACATCCTGAGATCTTCCAGTGTCAAGTGAACAGAATTCCATTCCATAAAACTTTGTGGAGCTGACATAAACATTTTCCTGTTCGTACTGTCAAATGCTGTGACTACTTCCTAGATAATAAATCTTATTAGTCTCACAGAAGACAAAGTGAGTGTAGATCAGAAATTACATCTTAAACCAACTTCATCTGAACCACAGGGGAAGTTATTCTCACACTATTCCAAGTATCTAGATATTATCCTTCTGAAAATTCATACAACAATTTGAAATCCAGCTTTTAAATTAGAAGATGGAAGAACTCAAATCAGCTTAATGCCATTTTTCAATAAGACTAAAACAAACTAAAAATGTTAACAGTTATTCAGTCAGTCAACAAATATTTTGTCAACAGCATCCAAAAAGCCAGGTACTATGGTGGACATTGAAAACAAATAGAAGAGAACAAAACAGGTCATTTGTAGATCTTACACTGCAGTGTGAGGAGACAAACAATAAATAAATATGATCACTGTAGTAATAATTTAAAAGACAATAAATAGGCTGTTAAGAGAATAAGAAGAGGGACCAGCAGATGGTGTAATGGCTATGTCGTTGGACTCCCATTTAGACGACCACGGTTCAAGTCCTAGACCCAGTGGCTTAAACTCACACCGGGCGCATGTGCGTGTATGCCCAAGATCCTGAGAAGAGAACGGAGGAGGAGGGATTGCAGCGTGGACATCCTCCCTGTGGGGGTGACTTTTCACTTTCTGTCTCTCTGCCTCTCTCTGTCTTCCTGGTGAGCGCATGCGCCCTATAGCAAAAACCTCTCCAAAAAAAAAAAAAAAAGATTAAGAAGACAAAAATGTAGACTGGGAGAAAATATTTGCAAACAACATATCTGATAAAGAATTGTTACCCAAAATATATAAGGAATTATAAAACCCAACGATAAGAAAATGAACAACTTTTAAAAGGGGTCAAA